GGCCATCGCCATGAAAATGATCATGATGATTGTAAATTATTCATATCAAAACCCTTTCTTCATTTTCCCTTTTCTCCTTCAGTGCTTAACAAGCGAGGATTCTTGTAGATGCCCATCATAACTCAAAATGTTCTCAACTCACATCCGTCTTCCACCCTCGCCTTTTCATGCGCTTTCTCCATCCATAAGTACCATCGAATCTCATTCATATTCATAGCTTGTATACACGCTCAAATTTAACTATTTTAATCCATTTCTTTTTTTATTTGTTATGATTTTATCTCATATTAATTTTTTTAGAGATAATTATATTTTATTCGTATTCGAGTTTGATCAAGTTAAATTTATTTTTAAAAAGATTTAAAGAACATATTAAAAAAACAAAATTTAATTGTTATAAAATAAAAAAGTACTAGTTTTTGTTAAATTATTGTTAAAATGATATTGTTTCATTATCAGTACGATCAAGTATCATTGATTATTACATAATATTCCACTAAGCAAATTAAATAAAATTGAAGATTTCATATAAGTATTAAAGAAATATGTTATTATTAAATTACATCCTTTTGGAAACACTATGGCGCATTTAAATTTGAATTTTAAGATTTTAAAGTAGTAAAAAAGCGATGACTTTATTATAAATCTTACACTATAACTGATCGGTAGCTTACGATATTTTAAACTTTGAATAAAAACACTTTATTTTTATTCTATAATATGGACTGTATTTTTTATTTTATATCTTTTACATTTTATATACGAAAAACTATAGGTGCGCGTAAGTGAGCCGGACTCATCATTCGCTGTCCGGTTTTCGACTAACTTACAAACAAAAACCTACGCTGCACCGCCCCCCACCTATTCTATAACAAATATATCTAGCGTTTTTTCCCCAATATCAAACAATAACTATAGTTTTAACTACTCACTAGGGATTCAAGCTAATAAATGAGGTTCTTATAAGTCTTCTGCATAATAATGGTGTTTTTGTAATCCAGTGTTATGAGATCTCATATACAGTAATAAACACGTCTAAGTCATGGTTTTTTCTTTTCATTAGTTAAGATTATTTTAGATAAAATAAATGAAAAAAAAAGTTTTTTGTTTTGCTTTCAATGCATTGAAAAAATATGTACCTTATATTTACCTCTTAAATAACATTTTTGCACTACAAAATTATATTATGAATCGTTATTATAAAATCTTTTATCCTAACTATTATAATTAGTATTACTATTTGATAATATTATTTGAATTATATTTGCTTTAATGTTAGAGATAAATCGTGCAACATTTTGACCTTATATACCTTATAAGTAACTTTATAGTTTTAAGTTTTTTTTTATACAATATAATTTCTATTGTAACATAATTATAGGTGAATCTAAAGTGAAATTTAAAACGTACAATAGTATTCTAAATGCATTTAAAATACTCGTTAATTATTAGTGGTACTTTAAAAGAACACTATAATGAAAAACCTTTACATTAATAACAAAGTTATTAGATAATAGTATAAAATTAATAAATTAAAATATTATTTATAATAATATTATAAGAAGAAATATTACTATTATGGATAACATTACGAATTTAGGTCATAGTTATTATGCACAAATGATCTGTAAATAATTTTTACAAAAATTATGAATCTATTGTTTTATTATTATTATAAAAATATTATTTAATCTAAACTCAATAAAGCTATACGATGGTGTATAATTATACTAACCATAAAAATAATAAACTGCACTTGTTTATTAATGCTAACTAAATATTAAAGTTGTACTAATTTCAATTTAATTACTTAAAATTGTTTATTTTAGTTGATCTATCGATAAACAATAAATTACATTTATTTACTAATTCCAACTAGTTATTTTTTTTTAGTTGTGATAATTAAAATATATGCATCTATTATTTAAATATAATTATATAAAATTAATAAAAATTAATACCTGTTTATCTATTTGTAAGTATTATTAATTTAAACTATGACAAACCTAATATATTAAATCATAATTCATTAAAAAATTTTTTTTTGAATTTTATAATTTCTAATTACTAAAAATTTATTTAAAAATAATAAAAATAGTTTGGAAATTCATGTATTTCTAATACGTTTGGCATATATTAATCAATTGTGTCATTCTTTGATTTGAAAAATGTTTCATTTTATTTACAAAATAGGGTATTTTATTGCACATTAATAGCCTTATGAAAAACGAAAAGAAGAAGAAGATTTATAAAACAGTAAACAAATAATAATGTTTCTTTGGGTTTTAAATTAATTGTGTATTACTCATGTAAAATAATTTTATAAGATACAAAATTATTTTGTTTTTGTTTTAGAAAAGTATATGATTTACCAATGTAAACATAAATACACTTCTTACGTAGTTCTAATTTAAATTATTTAAATAATATCACATTGTGGTGTTTTAAGCTCTTTTATAGACATAACTTAGTTTAGAGCTTAAGTTATATTCAATTGCCACCAATTAGTAGAAAGAATAGTAAAAGGGACAATGCGACAAATATTACTATTTACTACAGCTTTCGAAAAACGAAAAATTTAAATTAAAACAAGTAGTGTTCAGAAAAGACAGGGTAATTATTTTAACGCTATCCAAAAATTGCAGCATCCTTGCCTTATCACTAGTCATTACTTTAAATAAGTTAATTAATTATATACATTGTTGTTTGATATAAATTTACACCCTATAAAACATAAGGAAAGATCATAAAAATATATTATATAACAGATATGACAACATATATGTCATTAACAAATGTAAAAAAAAAAAAATATTTTAAGAGAATCTCAATGGTTAATGTTATAAATATCACTTTTCATCTGAATAGGAATATAAAATAGGAACCGATTTGTTTCAACGATACGTCAAAATAAAACAAATCGTATCTAGTTGAAGACATTACCCTCAAAAATTGAAAACATTTCCCTCGTTCCCCGTAAATAGGGTAAACCTCTAAAAACATTACAAATTTAAAAATTGCTAATTTTTTCAATTTTTTTTACTTAAAACTCCTATAACTTTTTTAAAAATTAACAAATCAATATAATTTTTTTTTATAGATGCTTGATGTTGTTACCTATCATTGGATATATTTTTTTTATAAATCTGACCCTTACCTTGCCCACAGGAGGGATTCAAAAAAACAACTTTTTTACGAAAAATTAACTTTTGAAGTGTTCCGGAATGTCTGAAATTTTTATATATATCTTAAATTAAAGCTAATGTAATATACTTTACTATAGAAAAAAAAAATTCAGGTATTATTTTGTCTTCACGATAAAAATGGCTACCATATGCTTTTTTTGTGATAAAATTCTTGATTTTATATTTTACATTTTTAACTTTAAAATGTTATAACTTTTTGAAAAAAGTATGGATTAATACATTTTTTTATAAGAAATAATATTTATATACTTCTTTCATTTGACATACTTTTTTTTAAATCGGATCATTTCCCTTAATACAGGGGAGTTCAAAACTAAAAAATCATACAGAAAGTAGAACTTTTTCAACTTATCTAATGAAAATATTCTAGAAATACTGACATTTTTTTTATATATTTTAAATTAAAGATTATGTAATATACTTTAATATTAAAAAAACCCAGCACAGGCGGGTCGCGGCACAGTATTGACGTGGCATAGTTGGATCAAGTATAATGAAGTGTTGATCCATACACTTTACAATAAGTTATAGCATCATAAAGTTAAAAATGTAAATTATAAAATCGAGAATTTTCACACAAAAAGAGTATTCGGTAGCCATTTTCACCATGAAGACAAGTCCAGAGGTCAAAATTTTTTTTTTAATATAAAGTACATTACATTAGCTTTAATTTAAGATATATATAAAAGTGTCAGACTTTCCGGAACACTTTCAAAAATTAAGTTGAAAAAGTGGTCATTTTAAATCCCCCCTGTGGGCAGATAAAGGGTCAAATTTACATAAAAAATATACCAAATGATAGGTAAAGACATCAAGCATCTATAAAAAAAAAATTATTTTAAAAAAATCGTAATTTTTTATTAATTTTGATGTCTATTTTCACCAAAAAAAAAAAAAATATACCAAATAATAGGTAATGACATTAGACATCTATAAAAAAAAAAATTATATTGATATGTTCTTTTTTGAAAAAGTTATGGCGGTTTTAGTAAAAAAATTTTTGAAAATAAGCGATTTTTAAATTTGTAATTTTTTTGGAGGTTCCCCTATTTATGAGGAACGAGGGAAATTTTTTCAATTTTTGAGGGTAATGTCTTTGACCAGATACAATTTGTGATGTTTTGACGTATCATTGAAAAAAATTGGTTCAGTGAGAGCTGAGAAAAAGTGGTAACAGACACAAAAAAAAAAAAACACATCTTAGTAAAACCAATACCTTCTCAGCTTCGCATCGAAGCTGAGAAAATGTCGGACTTTATTTTGTCTTCACGATGACAATGGATACTAAATGCTATTTTTGTGTGAAAATTCTCGATTTTATTTTTATTTTTTATACAAAATAACATATATTAATTGTAAGATATCTTGATTAATAAAAAGAAGTTTAATTATTTCTTTGAAATAAATGATATTTTTAAGACAAAGTATATACACTTCACTAAATCTAATTGAGTGTATTAAATTTTTAATAAACATTTTGTTGAATATATTATAAAAAAAAACTCCACAATTAGAGTAAACAATCAACTTCATTTTATTTAAAAGCTTTTATTTTTGTTGACACATTACAAATTTACTTAATATATATGGTCATATTTTGGTGTTACATAAAAAAAATGAGGAAAACAAATCTATAGTTTTTAAAATAATATTTAATAATGATATGCAATAAAATAAATGTATAAATAATCACTCTATTAGAATTTAAGTTCATTGTTTCTTGAGCATTATATCCACTAGATGTCGTTAGTTAAATATGAAAGGCTGAATAAATGAGTTTTTTTTGTCTTAAAATACCTTTTTAATTAAAATGATGTTATGTATAAATAAAACCTTTAGATTATTTTTATTTTAATAATTTTTAAGGAATAAATAAATTTATATAGAATTTATAAGAAATTGCATAGCACAAATTATTTAATTTATCTTATATTTACCGTGTTATCACAAGTTTACGTTATCTAAAAGAACTAAAGATATTAAAACATTTAGACTAAATGAGTTGAAATGTTATTTTTATGATCATAGATCAACCAGTTAATTAATTTAAAAAATAAAGTAATATAATTATTAAGCTTAGTTAAGCTTTTAAATGTAAATGTTAGTCAAAAGTTTATTAAATATTTTATGAGTTTTAATGATTATTATGATAATCACAATATAATATATTATTTAAATAATGGGATCATTTAATGGAAATTACAATAATAGTATTTACTTTAAAAATTAATAATATCCGTAGTCTGATTTAACTGCAGTTCCGTAATAAGATGATTGACGACTAACACTAGAAGAAGTTTCTTCTAAAACGGTCGAAATTTCGTATGTTACTTCATATTCTTCAGCATTGAATATAACTTCATCTCTAATGTTATAAGTTTGATCAATCTTGATCAAATCTTTTGGATTGTAGCCACTGAGAAGTATGTCTTGAGTTATAGAATTTATGGTATCAGATGATGGGATTCTGTCTCTAGTGAGAACGTACATGTTGTGTGTATTTTTGTTTTCTATATTAAAAAAAACACAATAAATATCTATGATTATTCTTTAATTTCCAATCCTTAATTTTCTTACGATAGAAAATGTTCCTGTAAGAGTTTACTATATACAGAATCAAATATTCCCCTTCTTTATAGCCAGTGATTGCCATATAGTAATGTCTACGATCTATTAGAAAAAAAAATGAATAAACAAAAATTTTCAAATAAGAAAAAATAACTATTAAAAACTTCATTAATAATATTTACAAATATCTGCAAAATGATGATGAATTATATTGTCTTCGTCAATAGAACCAACTTCTGTCATTACTTCATCGTCTACGACATTTAGTTATTTGGTTAATTATATTTATTACATGTAATAATTAATTATTAAAGCTACTTATGTTAAACTATTCTTGTTCTTTCCTGCCTTAATTCTAACTACTTGAGGTTGGCCAACTTATGTTAAATTATTAAATACTTTATTTTAAACTTACAGTATCCTTCAGTAGCTACAGTTAACAAACCATGATTTCCCTCTGGTCCAAATGTGGAATACAAAATACTTCTTGTGCTTTCAATTTCACCAGTTCTAAAAGTATGATTAATTATAGAATATATTAGTCATCATAATATATAAAAACTACATAATACATATCAAATATTCTTATAAAATAGCCATATTATTCAAATATTGATTACATACTGTCTGTTTATAGCTCGATCTAACATCATATAATCCCTTGACCAATCCCATGGAGTGTCTATTGGTAGTGTATTTTCAAAAATGACTTGTAAACTAGCAGTTGGGAATGCAGTGTCTACAAAATAAAATTTTTTTTTAGTTTTTTTTAACGCTTTATAAGCCCATTAAGGAATTTAGTGGCCACCCCAAAATAGGAGGTTTCTTAACCATTGATACTCCGTAGCGGGTAGTTAGTGCATCGCCCAAGTGAAGGATGGCGACTTCAATTACCGAACTGATCTCTCGTTCGGCAAATAAAGCCGCCCATGACCGAGTTTCAAACCTGAAGCAGTGCGCATCAAGCATTGCCACGTTACCAACTCGGTCATACCGTGCCTGTATTTAGAATGTACTTCATTAAATTTTTATATGTAACAGGTTAAAACTTACAGAAAAGACCACATTTTGGTGAATCGATGTTAAAAGCGTAAGGAGTTGCAAGAGCAACATAATATTTTCCATACAATGCTTTACTCAACTAAAAATTGAATAAAAGAAAAATTTTAAAATTATTTTGATTAATAGTAGATACAATAATATTTATCGACTCACAGTTGTTGCATCAAAGTCATTTATAATTCTAATTTTATTAACGAAGGGAATAGATACAAATGGACAGAATGGTTGGTAAGATTCCAAAGGTGCGACATCAGTACTATATTCAACAGTGGTTTTAGTTTCTGTTTTTGAAGCCGTTACTGTGTTGCCACAATCAGAAACAGATACTGATTTAGTACTTGTTGTAGTTGATACCGTTTTTTTAGTAGTAATTTCATTTGAAACAAAATCTGCAACTTCTGGTAAACCTTTCTTTATGATATCTACAGATTGATCGACAGTAATAAGATAATTTGGATTCAATCCACTTCTGGTAATATCGCTCACAGCACAACTTATGACTCTTTTACTTGGATATTGTTGTCTAGTCATAACCCAAATAAGATGATTATTGTTTCCTAATCAAAAATGATAAATTTAAATATCTCCTTGTAAACAGTAAAGGTTATAATATATAATATTATATTATATAATACCAGTAATAAATTTATTTTTCCATTCATTTAAAATAACAATAACTAAGTAGTCGTCATAATCAGCACCAATTATAACAGCAGTATATTTCACAGTATCTACAAACATACAATGAATTAAATTACCACCAATATAGTTATAATTTATTTGATATTAAAAAAAACATACATGGAACTTTATGAGTAGGCAAAACAAAATGTTCATCAATTAATGGGTGAATTTCAACAAGTGATTTAGCATCTAAAATTAAAAAGAAATGAACAACTATTTCAAAGTATAATTTCATAAAACATACAGTATCCTTCACTGTAGAAATTGAAAATGGCACTTGCATATAAATTACCATAAGCACTCTTAAAAAGACTTCTAGTAGATTCAATTTTATTAGTGCTAAACAAAAATATTGTGTAATGTATTATTGAAATTCAAATATAAATCAATAAGACACATAAAAAAAAAAAACAAATTAAAACGAATGGAAAATCGTATAGTAATTTAAATGAAGTATATTACATCCAATTATAAGAGTATTCAGTAAGGGTGCAATCAACATTAAAGTCCCATGGAGTGTTTTCTCTGAAATGAATTACATTCCCAGAGTTAGGCCATGTGTTAGCTATAAAAAATATCAATATGTTAAATCGACTTAATTTTAAAGATCAAATTTCATTTGATATTTTAATGGTAATTAAAGTTACAATTATTTACCTAATAAACCTGTGTGTTTTATACGATCATTTTTCATGCAAACTGGAGTTGCCATGTTTACGTACCAATCTCCATTGAAAACTTTGGCTGCCTGTTTAAAGATTGAATAAAAAAAAATGTACCAAATAATGTAAATTATTATATAATTAAATAATATTATTTCATTGGAATTTCATGAATCAGCTTACAGTATTCACATCAAATGGCTGGACTTTATACTTTCTTGGAATAATAGATGGCAATTTAATTGGAATATTCTTTGAAATATTTTCTGAACTATTTGCTACTGACAAACTCTTAGAAGCTGATGATACAGAAGATAATAAACTTGAGGCTAATGATGCGATCGAAGATGAAGTTGAAGTTACCGATGAAGTATTGTCTTCGTACGAGACTTCATACTCTTTAGCAACAAATGTATAGTCATCAGTGATATCATATGATTGATCAATACTCATTAAGTTTCTTGTATCATATCCATTAAGTATTAAATCTTGAGTGATTTTATCAATGGTAGCATGAGATGGAACTTGGTCTCTAGTGAGAACGTACATGTTATGTATTTCTTGATCTTCTGAAACATTGATAATAATGTAATACTATTAATAGACCTTTTATTAATATAAAAATTTAAAATATTTAATTTTAATGCATTGCTATTGAATTTCCATATTTTTACATATATCATTTATTTGTCCACCCTAAACTACAGTTCATTTATTGGGCTACTCGAAATAATATAAATGAAGTAATTTTTATGTAATTTATTGTTACTCACTCAAAAATATGTTATTATATTTATTGACCACATAAAGGATCAAATATTCCTTAGGTTGATATCCAGCGATTGCCATTTGATAATTTCTGCGATCTATAATAAAATAAATAATTTTTTTAATATATCTTTAGCGAAAATATTCAAGTTATGTATTACACATAAAGAGACTTACAAATTTTAGCACATTTATGAACTGAAATACCGTCTTCACTAATTGTAACAACGTCGGAAATAACATCTTCGTCTGTAAAATGATGATTATGCGATAATTTTTTATTTAAAGTCAAAACTAATATTAGTTATGTTATTTATAACTCACAATATCCTTCAGTAGCAACAGTAAGTAAACCATGATTATTATTTGGTCCAAATGTGGAATATATTAAACTTTTTGTCAATTCCACTTGACCGGTTCTAAAAAGAAAAGTATTATATTGGAATTTATTGAGTAAATGAACATAAGGAAGCTTTAATAACTAATTTGTTTATCCTACATTTCATCTTTAAATTGCCCTACAAACTTTCTGTTAGTCATTGGAATTGATTTATTTGATAATCCAGTATAGATAGACATTATTGACTGTTATAAGTTGTATACGAAATTCCAGGTATATTACAAAATAACAAACATAAATTTTTTGCTAATTTAATTTAAAAAATCCAAATTTAATAACAAAAAGTAATTAATATTATAAAACTCTTAGTAAAAAATGAAAATTTTATTTAAAACACTAATAACATAATATTAAAAAAAAACACGATAAAAATATTACTATAGAAAAAAAAATATAAAAGTTATTAATATTATTGTAATTAAAAAAAAAAAAAAAATTAAGCTGTATATTATATGTATATAATTATACATAGTATAAATTAAAAGTTCATGGGTAATTATATATACAATTCAACCGAGAGAACGCATCATCAGTATATATAAACTAACTTTGCAATGTTAGTACAACAACAAAGTAGTCTAAAAATAATAAACAACGCATCAAAGCTAAAACATAGTTGATCATCAGCTGCTAAGCAAGAAACTTCGTTACCTAACTGAGCGTCCGGGTATTGAAATGAAGGGTCTATGCATGTGACCAAAGTTATATGTACACTTTTAAGTTATATTGAATATAGACGATTCAATAATTTTTTATACTTACAATCTGTTATATGCACGATCTACCATCATGTATTCTCTTGTCCAGTCCCATGGAGTTTCCAACGATACTGTGTTGTCGAAAATGACTTGTAAACCAGAAGTTGGGAAAAGAGTGTCTGAAAATAAATATTTATTCTATAATAGTTTTATAATATTTAAAAATTCTGCAAAATTTTCTCTCTGAGAAGAGAATAAATGATCAGTACATACAGAAAAGACCACATGTTGGTACATTTATGTTGAAAGCGTATGGAGTAGCCAAGAACACGTAGTATTTTCCGTGTAATGCTTGGTGCAACTGAAAATATATTACATAATTTAATACGCCATACAAAAAATATTATAATTATTCAAGTTGTAACATACGTTAATAGCATCGAAATCGTTTAAGATTTTTACTCCTTGAACAAATGGGACAGATATAAATGAACAGAATGGTTTGTATGATTTTAATAGAGTGACTTCGGTTGTGTATTCAATACTGGTTCTAGTTTCAGTTTTTGATTCACACGCCAAGTTTTCACAGTCAGAAATGGATACAGATTTACTACTTGTACTAGTGGTTGATTCAGATTTTGTGGTAGTAACTTCTTTGATAAAGTCAGATACAACTGGTAATCCCTTCTTGACAATGTCTACGGATTGGTCGACAGCCATTAAATAGTATGGGTTGAGACCACTGTCAATGATGTCTTGAATAGCGCGTTTGACAACTTTGCTTTTGGGTGATTGTTCGCGAGTCATTATCCAGATAAGACGGTTATCGTTTCCTAAAATGAAATTATGAATTGTCAATATAAATAATTAATATTTTTAATCGTTAAATTACAAGCGTTTTAGATAAAATTATGTTTAAACACTTTACCAATTGTGAAGTAGTTATCCCATTCATTTAAGACAACAAACACAAGATAATCATCATAATCAGCACCAATAACCAAAGCTGTATACTTCATGGTGTCTAAACATTGCACATGTCATAAATATATGTAAATATAAAAGGTGTCATACCATATTTTAACGTCATAAAATTTTTGATCCAAAAATATTTTGTTTTACTCTTTTTTTAAATAATTTTTCCAATTTGAACTCACTCAATGCATATTTTAGCTTTGACGTTAAACTAAGATGATATTAATATTATCATGACAGGTTTTTTTTTTGTCAGTTACTACTTTTTTATAGCTCACACTCAACCGTATTTTTTTAGCGATGCGTCTATATAACTATATACGTATCGTATATGATTGAAGACATTACTCTCAAAAATTGGAAAAAGTTTCCTCATTTCCCATAAAAACGTAAAGAATTATAATTTTAAAAATAAACAATTCTCGACATTATTTAATCCTTTTATGCTTAATACTACCATAACTTTTTGAAAAATGGAGGAATATAAACCATTTTTTTTTTATAGATACTTAAAGTTTTTTTTTTAATATCTGACTCTTGATCTAAAAGAAGGGGATTAAAAATGTGAAAATTTATCAAATAAATTAACTTTTTCAACTTAACTTTTGAAAAAGTTAGAATAACTAAAATTTTTATATATCATGAATTAAAGCTTATGTAATATGCTTAATTATAAAAATTGACCTCTAAGTTAGAGAAAAAAGTACGATTTTTGTGAAAAATGTTTTAATTTAATAATTTATAATTTAACTTTATATTATTTTTTGAATAATGTATGGGTACTATCTTTTATTATAAATTCTTTTTATATACCCCTTATATCAAACATATATTTTTCATTAAAAAAATTTTTTTTTTATTTAAATAGTATCACGTTATTACTATTAAAAAAACGTATTTCTAGATGTACATCTTGAACCCTCTACCCATCGAAACGTCTTTTTTTGCCTTTTTTAAAATTCTTTTTGAGTTGGAGTCAGAGAAAAATTCGAAATTCGTTTGATTTTTGTCTTATTTAGATTGAATAACTTCAATGAATATCAAGGACCCCGTCACTGTAGTTTACCCTTGTAAGAAATAATTTCTTATTTATATTAAAATAATTTTACTACGAGGGTTTTTTTTTCGTGTCAGTTATATCTCAGTTCTCACTTGAGGAATATTTTTTTCAACGATAGAGCAAATAATCAAAATTAATATTTAATTAAAATTAGAAAAAATTCCCTTTATCGAATAAAAAGTTACTTAACCAAATTTTTCCATTTAAATAATCAAATTCATTCATTTCTAATTTTTTTTAATTTTTTTATATATATTTGAATTCGGTTTTGGAATTTTTCTTTATTAATTTTTTGACTTTATTTGTGTGTTCTACTACCAGTTTATAATATTTCGAGTTTGTCAATAACATGTTACAGTTAAAATTTTTATTAAAAAAAAACGGTAGCATAGTGGGGTCGTGGCACAGCGTGAACGTGATATAGATGCATCAAATCACTATCCTAAGAAACGCTTCGATGCAAATCTTTAGATAGTGTTTAATTTTAAAAAATTGGTGGATTATTCCAAATTTTACATGATCTGCTAGTTCCTTATTAATAACCTATTTAAGATAAAGTATGTCGAATGAAAAAGGGATTATTAAAAAATATTATTTCTCATAAAAAAATAATGTTGATCCATACACTTTTCAATAAGTTATAGCATTATAAAGTTAAAAATGTGAAAAACAAAATCGAGAATTTTTTTCAAAATAAAGTATATTACATTAGCTTTAATTTAAGATATAAATAAAAGTGTCAGACCTTTCGGAACATTTTCAAAAGTTAAGTTAAAAAAGTTAATTTTTCGTGAAAAAGTGGTCATTTTAAATCCCCCCTGTGGGCAGGTAAAGGGTCAAATTTACAAAAAAAAATATCAAATGATAGGTAAAGATTTCAAGCATCTATAAAAAAAAATTATATTGATATGTTCTTTTTTGAAAAAGTTATGGTAGTTTTTAGTAAAAAAAATTGAAAAAATTTCGAAAATTAGCGATTTCTAAATTTGTAATTTTTTTGTAGGTTTCCCCCATTTACGGGGAACGAGGGAAATTTTTTCAATTTTTAAGGGTAATGTCTTCGACTAGATACGATTTGTGATCTTTTGACGTATCGTTGAAAGAAATCCGTTCGGTGAGAGCTGAGAAAAAGTGGTAACAGACAAAAAAAAAAGAAAAATAAACACATATTATTAAAACCAATACCTTCTCCGCTTCGCATCGAAGCTAAAACACATAATAAAATGAATACCCTCCCAGCTTCGCATCGACGCTAAAAATAATACTGGGTATGCACATGAATTTAACAATGAATTTCTATAATTATAATCAATTTTATAATACATTTGATTCAGATTTTTTAACAACTCTGTGATTTATTTATATATTATACTTATAAATCGAAGAACATCTAGTCAAAATATAATTAAGGAAAGAAGAGTTGATGTTGTTTTTGGAATAATCCACCAATTTTTTAAAATTAAACATTATCTAAAAATAAAATTAAACACTATCAACTGATTTCAATCGTAGGTCTCTTATTACAGTGATTAAAATCACTATCAGATATCATATATAATTGACACAATTATCAATCGTCTCCACTGTACCTCAACTCCGCTATGCTACCGTTTTTTTCTAATAATTTCAACAGTAACATGTTATCGATAAATTCGAAATATTATAAACTGATAATAAAACACACAAATAGAGTCAAAAAATACTCACTCTATGTATTTATTAAATGTATTCGTAAATCAATAAGCACTTATCCTAACATTGTCGTCAAATCATCAAAATATATTTTTTTAATAAGAGTTAAATCGTGTATTTTTGAAATTCTAAAAATAGATTAAAATTTTATTTTTTCTTATTAAATATAAATAATAAAAAATATTATTTTAACGTAGTGTATTACTGAAAAAATTATTTTGAAAAAGAATGACGAAAATTTTAATTTTTGTAGTATTTTTTTTTTTCCGATTTTAAACATTAAAATATGTATTGGAAAAAGGACAGTAGAAAACACCTTTTTTTCATAAAAATATGCATGGAAAAAGTTTTATACCAATAACCAATATTTAGTGTGGAAATATTTCGTTTTCTTCTGTTGTTTTCTCAATACAAATTTCAATATTATAGCATCATAAAAAAAAAAAAATACAAAACTTTAATATTCACAAACTTTAAAATGCTATAGAAAATATACTGCTAAACATTAATAAAATATTTAAATATTTTTAAAGTTTTTAGGTGTAAAAACTATTAAATTATATATCAATGTAAAATATTAAGTGGATCAAAAGTTATTAAATATGTCAAACTATTATGGATCACTTAGTATATATATACATAAATATATATATTTTTTTCTCGTTCTACTATGATATAATTGACTTACATGGCACTTTATGTGAAGGCAAAACGAAATGTTCATCAATTAATGGATGAATTTCTTTTAAAGAGTTTTCATCTAAAGCAGCCAATACATATGAATAAAAAGTTATTTTAAAATCATAAATTTAAGACTTGTGCAGACTCCTACTTACAATATCCTTCAGTGTAAAAGTTGAAAATAGCATATGGATACAAGTTTCCGTAAGCACTTTTGAAAAGACTTCTTGTGGTTTCAACTTTATCAGTTCTGAAAACGGTATTTTTATTAACATAGATTAATTATCTATTTAATATATATATATATAGATAAATAGATATTTCAATTCAAAATTTATTGATACTTACATCCAATTATAAGAGTATTCGGTCAATGTGCAATCAACATCAAAGTCCCAAGGAGTATTTTCTCTGAAGTGTATTACATTCCCAGAATTCGGCCACGTATTTGCTACAAAAATAGATACATCATTTTATTATACATGACTACTAAATGTTTTAAATTTTCAAAATATTTATCAAAACTACATTTTTATACACTTTGTTTTTTTATTACTATTAATATTTTGGTTTATGTAACTGATAAAAAAGTGTATTAAATAAAATGATTTTTTTTAAATTATTAATAGAATAATCGTTTTGTGTTTATTTTAAATTTTATAATAAAGTAATATTTTTTGCGGTATTTTAATAAATTCTAATTTAATTACTGTTAGAATCTAAATTCGAAATACTCTATTAATAAGTAATATAGTAATAGATAATAGACGTATTTACCAAGTAAGCCAGTATGTTTGATTCGATCATTTTTTATACATACCGGTGTTGCCATATTTACGTACCAATTACCATTGAAAACTTTAGTTGCCTGTAAATTTTTATTTTTCATTATAATGTCATACATTTTATTAATTAATAGTTTCAAAACAAAATTGTAAACTTAATTGTATGCAAATTAAATTTACTTACTATTGTAGTATCAAAAGGTTGAACTTTATAAGTTGTAGGTATTATGGCTGGTAATTTAATTGAGACTTCGGTAGAAATAGTTTTTGAGCTAGTAGATTCTGATAAACTCTTAGTGGCTGATGATATGGACGATAATAAATTTGAAGCTGATGATGTAAGTGATTTGATAGTTGATTTTTCATCTGAAGACGAAGAGTCATTTGATGTTACAGATAATTCGAAATCTGCGGGATTAAATTTGTAAATATCCATAATATCATCGGATTGATCTATTGTTATCAATGTGTTTAAATCATATCCACTGAGAAGTATATCTTGGGCGATATCAGCTAATGTTTTTGAACTTGGTTGACGTGCTTTTGTAAGAACATATACATTGTGCACAGGTTTATTGGCTAATAAACGAATAATAAAACAATTATTTTTATCGCTAAACTAAGTTATTTATTAATTTTATTCAATTATATTTTACCAAATAATAAGTTATTGTAACTATTAACGGTGTATAAAATTAAATAATCATCTTCTCTAAAACCAATTACTGCGAGGTAATAATTTCTTTTAACTAGAAAAAGTAGACAAAATTAATACATCAATCATTATTATGATATTTTTTCGATGCATACATGTTGTTGAAACAGTATGAGCATAAAACCCTGTATTGGTGATTTTCACGACATCTTCAAGAACTTCATTATCTATAATAGATTACGTAACAAAATTCTTATCAAAATGTTTTAAAAAGTAAATTATAATATAAAACTTACAGTATCCTTCAGTGGCAACAGTGAATATAGGATATCTACTGTTTGGTCCGAAAGTAGAATATATAATACTTTTAGTTACATCAATTTTACCAGTCCTGCACAATTTTAAATAGAATTTATGTTTTATATTTTTAATATGCTGTAACTTTCTGTGTTGTTTTGCTAGAACAGAGAAAAAATCAAAGAAAACCTACTTTCTATTGATACCACGATCAACCATCATGTATTCTTTTGTCCAATCCCAAGGTGTGTTCACTGTATTATCAAAGATCACTTGTAAACTTTTTGCTGGGAAAACAGTATCTAAAATTTTAAATTATACTATTAAAATACAATTATTGTTTACAAAATCTGTAATAATTTATAAATTATTTTATAGTTTATAATAATAAATCTGACATTTTTTAAATAACTTACGGAAAAGACCAATTTTACAACAATCTTCATAAGCTACAAATGGGGTAGCACTGTTTACGTAATATTTTCCTTTCATTGCTTTAGCTAACTAAACATAAACATTATTATTTATATATTTTTGTAATTTATAATTAAATAAACATTTTATATACTCACGACGTCAGAAGCAAATTCACTCATGATTTTAACATCAGGTACAAATGGGTTAGAAACAAATGGAAGGAAAGGTTGATAATCAGGAAGAGATGATATTTCTGTAGTGTATTCAACTGTAGATTTAGTTTCTGTAGTAGAAGCAGAGTAGCATTTATCACCATGAGAGACAGAGAATGATTTAGTCGTTGAAGATTCAGATACAGTTTTTGAAACTGAATATTCGTCAGTAACCGAAGAAATGCCATTTAAAATTAAACCTTTTGAGATGAGATCAACCGAATGATCGATATCTATCAAATAGTATGGACTTAAGCCACTATTTACGATATCATTGATTGCACGGTTAGTGACATCAGAAGATGGGTTACTATCTCTGGTTAATACCCAAATTGTATGTTTGTCTTTTATATTAAAAACATTGTTGTATTCATTAAGTACAGCAAATACCATGTATGAATCCGAATCGGCACCAATTACACCAACGGTAAATAATCTGTTATCTGTTTTAAAATTTTTATTTAGTTTTAAATATTTTACATTTTGATAGTTAATTTAATTAACTTACACATAGAATCGACTTTGTGAATGTTCAATGTTTGGTCAAGTAATGGTTGAACTTCAACTAATGGTTCATCGACTTAAAACATAAAAACAAAATTTAATTTCAATATCGTAAGGATCAGTAGCATTTTTAAAGTTGGAGAGGAACATGCATGAAATTTTTTTTACTAATTACACCAAAATACATCTGTATCATATTTTTATTATTATAATTGAAAATATTTATACCCAAACCCCCTATAATCAGAGAATATTCTATTATGGGCACAAAGTGAGATTTAAGTACTTTTAAAATATATCAGCCACTAAGTTTGAAAAAATAATGAATAATTTGCATATATAAAGAAAAATTAGTCATACTTACAAATGTCTTCAACATAAACATTGAATATGGCATATTTGCTCTGACCATACGCAGAACTCAACAAACCACGAGACTTTTCAACTTCTCCAGTACTATAATACATTTAAAATAATTCTAATTTCATTATAAATAATTACATTAAATAAACTTGACTTACTAAACGTTATAGGAGTATTGATTCATTACGTAGTCTGTATTGTAGTCAAATGGATTTCCAGGGGTAGTGTCTTCAAAACTTACCACGTTGCTAGAGCAAGGCCAAACGTTTCCTAATCAAATAAATCAATCTTTATAATCAAACAAATGAAATTATAATTTTACGTACTAAAAAGACCAGTCTTCTTGCTACGGATATCATAGTATGATGGTGTTGCAAGAGTTACATACCAATAACCTTGGATAGCCTTAGTTGCCTGAAAGTTAAAAAATTATAGTAAGGTTAAATAAATTATTTTTCTGTTAAGTTAAAGAAACATAATTTCAAGAGTATTAAAAAAAGTATATTTTTTTAAATTACGCTAAAGTTTTTCTTTAAAAAAATTTTAAATTTTAAACTTACAGCTTGACTATCAAATTCCACAATATTGTATCCTTTCGGGATAATAGATGGTAATTTTACAACTTTGGACAGACTTTTAGATAAACTTTTTGTCAAACATCCGGTCAAGCCTGAAGTTAAACCTCCTGTCAAACCCTTATAAAATGGATGAGCTGAAGTAAAAGACACAAGGGCGAGCAAACAAAATACAGCTTTCATCCTGAAATTCGGAATATTAATTTTATATAGTCAATTTTATAGGGAAAAATTGCTTGAAGCAAAAAATAGATCTTAGGTTATTTTCAGTATTAAAGAGTTTTAGAGGATTCAAAACAATTGGTTAAGGTTTATTAAATGAAATATACATAAACAGTTGTTATTAAAAATATTTGTTATTAATTTCAGAAAACGATTTTTTTTAATTAACATGGATAATAATATTATAAAGGCAAATCTTAAAATAATTTAATTTATTATTGTATTTTAAGCAAAATAATTATTTTTTTCGACATGCCAAGATTACAGTTCTTTGGTAAAGTACAATCATTTAATTATTTATTTCTTATAAGGTTGATTTCAAAATTTAATAGGATTCCGTTATTTTATTTTGGTTATTTTTGCAAACAGAATAAAAAAAAATATTTAAAAATTTGCAAAATATTAGGTAATATACTTAATATTCATTTGTTTGTGTTTAGATGCTGATTAAAAAATATGATAAACTATCAAAAATTATTCAACATTAATACGTAACATAAAATGTAGAAGAATTATCTTTAATTGCTTACCTGTTAGTATCCCTGTCAGCCGGGTATTCTAACAAGATGAAATAGTATCGTTCAAACACTGAATGATTTTTTTTTTAGAAAAACTGTCCTTTTATCATAATTTATCTAAAACATCTGCTTAAAATGTTATTTGTCTTTATGTCAAAACTCAATCATTATTTCAGTAATGATTTTCAGTATCCTAAATATGTTGTGCTATTGATTTAATTCTATTTACACCAATGTTTTTAACAAAAAAAAATCAGATTCAAAAGTTATGAAATATAAAATTTATTTTTTTCTTATTTAGTTTTAGGTGTTTTTGTTACACTATTTCTCAATTATTGACAACGGGCGAAGTATTGCACCAGCACTGGCAACTAACCAAGGGCTAACCTGTACTAGTGCAGTACTATGTGACATTTTATCTAGGTACTAATTCACTATTGGAAGTCAATACATGGCTTCTATTACTGGCAGATTATTGGCGTAATACTGGTAAAAAACCTCCAGTACTTCCATATCAGTATGAAAAACAATCATATGTCATGTCAGACATATGCTAGTAGTATTGGTAGCCGCTACTACAGTAAAACTGCCGGTATTTGTGTAGTATTTCACTTGTTGTTAATTTCTCATTAGATTAAATAGATATACCAAGTAGTTCATAAATAAAATTATGTAACATATAATTAGTAGGAATTTTAAGTAACATTTATTCTTTTGACTATTACTAAATCTTCCTTTAATTATTTTTAATTTGTTTTAATAAGTATTCGATAAAAATATTTGAATAGAAATTATCAACTTAAATATTATCAATTTTAAAAATTGACAATATTAATAGATAGTGTCAAAACAATGATTTTAAGATTATTAAAAAATTTAAAATCTCTTATTTCTTCTAATAAAAAAAATTTAAAAAAGCATTTATGAATACCAAAAATCATTACTAACATTTATACGTCATATTTACATACCTTTTTATCTTTAATATATTATCATATAAAAAATATTCTTAGCTTTTCGTTGTACGATTAAATTATTACTTAGATGAAAACAGAAATTTAATTTTGGAATCTAACAACAATTTGTCTATACTTATATATTTTTCAAAAATAAACTGTTTTCAATAATTTTCAATATTATAATCCTATAAACTTTATATGTATACTTGATTTTAGTCTTAACATACACTTAATATTTAATAATTTTATGGAATATAATATTCAATATTTCATTTCATAAATAAGGGGACAATAATATATTTTTTTCATTTAAATTTAACATATAATAATATAAAAATTTCATCTGAGAAAGCATAAGACAAATATTAAAAAAAAACATAAATTATAATTATAAACATAATTATTTGTTCAAATTTGGATTATGATACATTAGACTATAGATAATATTATATATGTAATATGTGTTCATGTCAAGAATGAGTCAATGTCTATTTGTTATTCGGTGAATGCCGTTAAAAAATTTTATTTACCTTAGTTGATATACGTCAAATTTTAAAGTTATGGAATTCTGTGTATTCGATTATTGACGTATTTGCATAATAAGAGCATAATTCACAATTATTTAATGTGAAAAAATTTCTACAGACAGATAAATAGTGAACAATTTTTATAGAAAATTTTAGAGCTAATTAATTGGATATAATATGAAAAAAAATCTCAATTTAAATATTGAATATCAACAGTTTAAGGCTTTAATGACAAAATTTCTAAGAGTTATTTAATGATTAAACGTTAAGAAAACGATTCAATAATTATACAATTTTAACAAATTTTAATTATAAAAATAGGTATACTAATAATAGCGAAATGCGTTATTATCACTATAAAGCAAAACTATAATAGTTAAGTGTATATTTTCAACATTTTTTTGAAAGTTCATTAAATTTTAATGAAATTTTTCTGATTATTCTCTTTTTTATTAAAAATTATAGAATCACTCTTTTATGTTTTATTGATAAAAAACTTCAAAACATACATTATAAAAATATTTTTGTTGTAATTTAAATTAGTGATGAAAGTATGATAATTTTTTTTACGAAATGTAAATTTACCTAATTTACCCTAATAAAAGTTTATGTTGACGAAGATGTAGATATAGGAATAAGTGCAATTGAAATGAAAAAAACCCAACCCAGCACAGTGGAGTCGCGGCATAGTGGGGACGTTGCATAGTTGGGTCCAGTATAGATTTAATCTGACAGTGATTAAA